TCGCCCGAACTCGGCCCTGGCTTACGGGGCCTGTATATATGACTATATATATATATATATATATATATATATATATATATATATAAGACCTTGGTTGTCTATTATTTAGGCATCGCATCCTTCTAACGAGATGCGAATGTATGGATTATGTAGCGTAGAAACAACGAGGCCGTATAGACAGATATATACGGCGCTCTTCTCCTCCCGCGAGCAAAAATGCAGCTTGAAGCGAGTTATGTGGATTATTCAACTTGTAATATTTTTAAGAGAAAAAGCTTTCGGACATCCATGCCCAATTCTATAGATCGGATGTCCGCCAGCCAGGGTTGTGTGCAACTGGCCATCGGTGAAATCGCCGAACTCCGCGCCTGACTACGGGGCCTGTATATATATATATATATAAATATATACGCTTTTGGTTGTCTATTATTTAGCATCTATCGCGTTCTAGAGAGAGAATGTATGGATCATGTACGATAGGAAACACCGAGCCGTATATACAGATATATATCCTCTTCTCGTCGGCGAAGCGCAAATGCAGTTGAGGGCGAGTTTAATGTGGATTTCAACTTGTAATTTTTTATGAGTAAAAAAGCATTTCTGGACATTCCATCGCTTCTATAGATCGGAAATGTCACAGCCAGGGTTTGTGTCAACTGGCCTTATGTGAAATCTAGCAGGATGGAATTCGCAAAGGGCTCCAGTTGGTAAGCCCCACGCTAAATACGATCCTATTAGATAAAGTTCTTTCTTGTCCCGCCTCTCTATCTCTCCGCCCTCCGTATTATTCTCTGCTTTTCCTTCTCTATCTCTCCTCTATCGGCGCTGGCTCATATCTGCTTTCTTTCTCTTTGGCTGCTGTTCTCTTATCTGCTTTTTCTCTTTGCTCTCCCCTCTCTCTGGCTCTGTCTCTATCTCTCTCCTCATCCCTGCTCTCTGGCTTTTGTCTTTAATCTTTATTCCCTTGTCTGTGTCTGTCGCGCCTCTCTCTCGTCTCTCTCTTCTCTCTCTCTCTCTCTCTCTCTCTGCTCTTTCCCTCCATCTCATTCTCTTCTCTCTCTTCCCTCTCTTTATATCGCTATCTCTGTCTGCTCTCTCTCGTCGTCTCTCGTCGATCTCTCGTCGTCTCTCTCTCTCCTCGCTAAGCCGTCGTCTTCTCCTTTTCTCTCTGCTCTCTGCGTCTCTCCTCGCGCAAGATGGCGCTCTGCTCTCTCGTCTCATCTCTACTCTCTCTCTCTCTCTCTCTCTCAGTCTCTCTTAATCTCTCTATCTGCTGCTACTGCTGCTGCTGCTGCTGCTGTTGGTGCTAATACTGGTGGCTGGTGTGGTGGTAGTGTGGCGGTGGTGGTGCTGCTGCTGCTACTGGTATTGATGGTGTGGTGCTGATGGCTGGCTCTTACTGGTGGCGGTGGTGGTGGTGGTGCTGATGATGTTGGCTGCTGCTGCTGGCTGGTGGCTGCTGCTCGCTGCTGCTGGTGGTGGTGGCTGATACTGGTGGTGGCTGGTGGTGTGGTGGTTGGTGTGGTGGTGGTGGTGGTGGTGATGTGGTGGCGGTGGCGGTGGTGGCGGGGCTTGTGGTGGTAGTGGTGTGGTGGTGGTGGTGGTGGTGGTGGTGGTGGTGGTGGTGGTGGTGGTGGTGGTGGTGGTGTGGTGGTTGGTGGTGGTGGTGGTGGTGGTGGTGGTGGTGGTGGTGGTGGTGTGGTGGTGGTGGTGGTGGTGGTGGTGTGGTGGTGGTTGGTGGTGGTGGCTGATAGCTGCTGGCTAGGGCTTGTGTTGTGAGCAGGCAGGGATCAATTAGCCAGGTTGATCTCTATGACTCCACTTGCTCCATGACGAACATGAGGCCTGCTCCTAGGATTAGTCCAGAATTCTGTAGGGCAGCATATTACGTGATGGCTCCTCCCTCCTTGACGGGCCTCTTCCAGGTCCTGCCCCATCCTCCGATCTACAGAAACAACAGAATTATCATAAATATACAACATATATCATCTAGCTAGCTCGGCAACACATAGCTCACATTCCAATGATTCTTGATTGTAGTCAAAGCTTCTAGATATCAACATTGTTATCGAATTGCGCCTAGTTATTATGATATGCCTCTCGTGGCTTGCAAGCCTCGTCTCGCCTTTTTATATACACAAATTGGTGACATCCGTCACGTGTCCTACTCCTCATCATTAGGATTCGCTTTAACACTAAAATTAATAATGTAAAAATTAAACTAAACATTAAATACCAGGTGCCAATAAACTAAACGCGCGTCAATATAGCACGAATTATTGCAGTTCAGAGTCACTTTCATCGTAAAATAGATGAGCAGACTTTTGAAAAGTATTATATTTCGGCAGAACGTATGGATAATTCATCTATTTTTAAGTGGTCAAATTAGTTGGTCAATTTGGGGGTCAAGAGTTCGGTCACCAGTGAAGTCATGGCCATAGATGACGTAATCAAAAAATGAATGAGCAACCTGATTTTTAATAAACTTAATTCTTTATACCAATGTTATACCATTATATCGATGTATACACAGACAAGAATTATAATTTTAAAAATACAAATGAACGCGAAAACGAACGCACTAAAAGTGATGTGTTTGTGCTGCTTTTGAGACTCAATTGACTGAAGCTGCAGTGGATAATAAAAACAAGTAGAATTTGGCATCCAGTGTTGCTTATTCCCCCGGGCCGTGGAGGGAGGGGTCACGTGATAAGCGTTGACGATGACGTTCAAAACGTTAAGCACTCGGTAACCTTCACTTCCACACAGTTCAATCACTAACCGCTCACACTAAATATATATGTTTCGCCGCGCTATATATAGGATTGTGATCCACAAAATTTAATCTATGGTGTGGGGAGCAGATTATCATGATGCAAAATCCTTGAAACCGCTAACTGCTAATCCTAACCTAACCTAACCCTAATCATAAGCCCTAAGCTAATCCTAACCCCTAACCGCTAACCTTAACGGCTGCCCCTTAACCCTAATCCTTAACACTATGCGCCAACCACTGAGTGCTGCCACGTTGCGGTCACTCTCCACGTACCCGGGGGATAGCATTACCCCTTATATAGGTTGCTGAACAACACCGTAGAGGCGTCCATAGGCTGCAGGCCTGAATAAGCATCGAACTAGAAAATTACTTAAAAATACTGCACACTGTTACTGCACTTAACACACATACACTTTATTCATGTTAATAACTGGCAGATTCATGCTGGCTATGCTCGTCCTGCGAAACTGTTTGGCTCAGCTATGATCCGAAGATTTCTGGCAACGTTTGTCTGCAACACATTTCATAGCACAAACCC